CGTAACGCGGTGCGTGAGAAGAGACAGTGTGACGAGGCAGACGCATCGAAAGTCTGCTTCGTTACAAGCCTATTCCTGGGCAAATTATTGCTGGGCGCCACTCGTGGACAGCGATGCTCTTCTTCCTCCGTAACGGATCTATGCGCAAGCTGAGGGAAGTGGCGGACAAACGAAGAATGGCGCCCACTAATGTGTGTGCGTTGTCCTCGGTTGACCTCGATGGGCAGGCCTGGTCGGCCTAAGAAGGCGCAAACAACACGCGAAAGCCTTTCCCGTGTATACAGTGTTGAACTACATCGTTTTCATGAAAGTACTTTTAGAAGACTGGATAACTTCCAAATTCGCATATCTACACTCGATTTGCGGTACGCGTTGTTGGTGGAAGCAAAATAACCGCTGCCAAGGTGTTCTCTGTTTATCATGAATTTCATGAGTTTCAACCCGGATGACCATGACTCATAAGAATTCTACTGCTAACTGCGCAATTTGATATCGCCACTGCACCTTTATTTTCTGGTTGCCGAATCTTGTCTGCACGAAAGCTGCATGTTTTTGCGTGGTTTGAAGATCTGACTAAAGAAAGAATGGCAAGGGTGCCCTTTATGGCCGGACTTACTTATTCCGGGGCGCATTTGCGTTGATCAAAATAGCTGAAAATCTGAGAACTTTGTGGTTCCACAAATTTTGATCCTCTATACTGTCACCAATCAAAAGGGGGCATTTAATGATAACAACAAATGAACTTAATACCCGTTTGCAGGCATTGTCAAAAAGGAATTGCATTGTCGTATTTTTGCTCCGGCGACTGCCTTAAAGCATCTGGACCACCCTCCATGCAACAGGCGCAGCGAGGTCTTTTTATTCCTTTCCCTGGCGCGTACAAAAAAATAGCACCAGTCATTTTCTTTTAGCAAAGTTGCTCCCCCGAGTAATTAACCCTGGCCATAAACCATACCCTTTCCGAAGGGTTAGTTGAGTGACCCCATAACGTGGACTGTGTTGTTGAAAAAAACCAGCAATTTTGGATCCATTCATCAGATTTCAGAAAGAAGAAATTGTTCAACGTGTTGGTTTTAGTATTTCCGCTTCTCTTTAATCGAATATTTTGTGAATTTCTGATTTCCAAGTTGGTATACCAGGATGACTACCTTACTGGCTTTTCCTCTTGAACATAACAAATCCACAGACTCTTTGTTAAGAGGAGCCGTCCTAACCAACTCATTCGCATGCCACTCTAGCGACGCGCTTACACACCGTCCTAGCAGTCCGCCCCACACGGTGTGCGCGTGTTGGGATCGCACCAGCCACCGGCATGATTGGAGAGTTGCCCAGCCACTCAGATGAGTATGAAAACCGGTTTGCATGCTAACAGCTCAAGGGCATGATCTGATTGGCTCAATTGTAGGACGGCCTTGGCCTTTATCACCAGATTTTTCTGTCAGGAGGTCAGAAGTAGACTCGTGTTCTTCGCCCTTGCTGTTGAGTTCTCTTTCGGGGATTCGATCTCAGAGAGTTGTAGAACGGGTCACCAGGCAGGCGTTACGGCTAGAACCTAACACCCTCAATTTGATTGCGCTGAAACTGTTTTCCCGAAACTGGTACAAATCGAAGGACTGTAAAATACAATTAAAGAGGATCGTTTCGGCGTATTGGTTTCATAGTAAGTTAATTTATAAGTATTCCATCTCTTTCATTCATTCCTGGGATTACGGCAAGCCAACATGGAGATAGTTTTAATTATTTTACAATGGCACGCCAATGACTTTACACGCAAAAAGTTGATCACAATTGACACCATTCTCCTTTCCCTGATTGAGTGACCCTATATAACCTCCTTAATGCCATATGAGGTCGCGCTGGTGATCAATTAACGACAATTGGTCGACTGTTGATGAGGCCTACCAAGTAGACATTAAAACTGGAGTCACCGTTTCTAGTTTACTTCCCATCACCTGCCAGCCCAGCATTACTGGTCGATCTGAATAAAGGTGAATATCTCGTTGTCCAATCTTGGGTTCCCAAAGATCTGCTCCCCGATTGGAAGGGAACATTTGAAGATTGAAAATCTTTGCTAGGGAGAACTAAGTCGCTTATTGGTTACGAGGCGTTCTGTGAACTTTCATCCTTATGACTCTAGGTAAGAGGGCCGAATTATTCGCCGTATCACAAATTTGGTGCTTGAGTCTGTAAAGAACGCGTTAAGGTCTAATTAGACTGGAAGAGGCAATTTCTGGGACAGCATGCGTTGGTACAAACTAAACAAAAACTGCATGTCTCCGACTCTTTTATGACATGGTGAACAGGTTTTGTCCGGAAAAATAACCAGCACTGAAGCAAGCGCTTCGGTTTTCGGATCACTTCGAATTAAACTGGTCTTGCTTCATCCCACCAAATCGTTACTTTGCTAAATTGTGCCAAAATTCTTCAGATTCTCGAATATTTGTCATCTATATCAGATTAAATAAAGACGCATGTATGTGTACGAAATTGAGTGATTTGAAAACTAACACGGTTGCAACAATTTAGTCTCGCCAAAGACAAGCTAATAGAACAAAGTGGACTTGAGAGCTCCACGGTCGCAAATGACAACGCCCACTGTGTGCCCCACGGAGTGGGAAAAGCAACAGTGACGCACGCGTGAGTTAGTTTATAGCAAGACGGACTTGTGCCGTATCTGCCGCAGTCTCCCTCCCCTCACTCACCGGGCTCCGATGGCGATACAGCATCAGGACAGGCGGAGGTGGGCTAGAGCGCAGCGGCCGACAAATTTGAACTACCGGTCTAAGCGTACCACACATGATCCGCCCCCGCACAACACACTGGGTTTCCACATAATACGGGACGGATCGGATCCCGCGTTTGCCAGTGTCATAGATTGCTGATAGAAGCGAACAGGCGAGTTCCAGGTAGCAGTTCAAAAGATGAAGATGAGATCACTGGAACAAGAAGTTTATTTGCCTCTATCTGCGAATGTCTCTGATTATGGACTCGAGTGAGAATCCGAAACGTCAGGCAAATAAACTTCTTGTTCCAGTGATCGCATCTTCATCTTCTGAATTGTCATAGAGGTCATATTAAAAAGAGACCGTTGGGTCAGCCTCCGAGTCCTCGAGCCACTCACCTCATATGACAACTGGACTGTCGGTCCGAATGATATCCACTGTGTGCCCTACAGTATGGTGGTAGCAGCGACGATGACTTGCTCACTTATTAATTTATAGTGGCAGCAGACTTCTTCAACATCTAACGCACTCCCTCCTCTTCCACCTGGGTCAGGTTCCACGAAAGAGACAAGAGGACTGGAGGCTGAAGAGGCTGCATGTGGCTGGTGTGGCGCGAACCGGCACCTAGGCGTGCCATCGCACCTCCTAGTCTATGCACAAAGGACCAGAATTTCACGCAGTAAGAAGGACTGGGTCAGCTAAGATCTTAGCTGAGTAGAATTTTGATAAAGAACACGTTGAGAAAAGTAGTTGCAGTCTAACTCTCGGTCCA